GTGGCTAATAGAACAGGTCAGTGCTTTGAACCTACCAGTTGCTCCATGGAAGAAAGATGGAGCAGTCTGCTTCTGTAAAGACTGACAACCTTGGAAGCTTTTGGGGCTGTTTCACTCCATCTTCCAGGATTGCTATGAGCCAGAATTGACTGAATGACAATGAGAATGTGGCTCAAATGAGTCATAGCATAGCAGTAGTCCATGGAATCATTAAACCAGATTATAATCAAATTATCTGATTTATTTACAGAAAAGGAGGCCTTTATACACAACTTGGTCTCTATACAGAACATGAACTTGGCTGTTAAAAATAAAAAGTTGGAGGTTAGCATAATGTAATAAATTTTTGTTCTCCTTAAAATTTATATTTTATCACTTATTTAAGTGGATATTTATGTCCGCAGGAAATAGTTCAATTTTCTTGAGTTGGTTTCTCTGTAGCCTGAGAGGTGCTAAATGTAGCTTTACTGTTACATCTCCTGCTGAATTTGAGTTCTTTCCTGACTGTGATTCCTGCTGTTCACACCACCAGGAGCCAGTCAAATCAGAGAAAAGTGGGAATGACTGACAGGAGAAATATACCTGTTGCATAAATACATGAGGTGGTTTGATCAGATATGCTTAAAATTTTTGAAGTACAGAATACAAAAAAACAAAAATTACTTGATTCAAAGGTTAGGAGAGGATGTATGCTTTCACACCTGAGCAATTAACCATTTCTTATTTGACTCTGGTTAAGTACAGAGAAGATTTCCATGTGCGTAATATTACTGTTTTGTTTTGTTTTTTTACAGGATTTGACAATGTGACTGTAGTAAAATTTGCTCTTGGTCTAGTCCTTATTCATGTTGGTCATTTTGTATTAATGGGTTATGGAGTTTGCTGCTTACATTGTGGTATTGATTTTAAGTGCCATCAAGTCAATTCCAACATATAGCAACCCTTTATAGGGTTTCCAAGGAGCAAGTGGTGGATTTGAAATGCCGACCTTGCAGTTCAAACCGACCGTACAGCTGAGTGCTTACATTGTTGTTAAGTGCTGTTGAGTCATTTCCGACCCAAAGTGACTCTGTATAGAGTTTCCAAGGAGCGGTTGGTGAACTTGAACCACCAACCTTGCGGTTTAAATTGACTGCAGTCCAGCACATTAACCCACAGTGCCACACAAGGATAAGAACTGAGTATCTGTACTGCCATTGAGGAGCTTTTAACATTTAACATTCCTTAACTCAATCCATTATGACTGAAGATCACTTAGTTCCCAAACCTAGCTCATGGGGGAAACCCACATTCTTAGGAAGATAAAAGGACACAGGGTTAAATAAAAATGACAACTTTCGTGTTCCTGCATTAAATTCAAATCGCTCCTGACTTATTGACATTGTTAGGATCCAAACACCAGGTTAGTATGCAAAAATATGTAATGGCCACATCACAAAGTGGAGGATAAAGACATCATTACATAACTGCCAAATTACATCATTACGTAACTTCCAAAACACTGAGAATCTTGATACTGCAAAGTTAACATGTGACTTTAACAATCAAAGTCAGTGTTATTCATGCCTCATCCTTTGGGGTTCAGTTCTCTCAGATGTATGTTATCCAGAACAAAATAATCAGATAGTAGGTTTTTTAATATTGTCATAAATGCAAAATGTCATATAATGAGATAATTGATAGAGTTTGAGGAAAATTTGAACTAAACACAATGTAATTTTTTCAAAATATTTTTGAAGTCCATATATTGAAGTCCATCAATTTTTATATAAATAACATATGATTCTGCATTTGTTTGTTAAGCACCCCATCCCCCTGGGGAGGAATATTTGTCAATATGTTATAATTTGTTACAGCAATACATTTTTTAAAAGTGGCATAACAGCAATTATCAAACATCTCCTAGTGAGATGGAGTGGTTGGCAAACCAAAGTAGAAGGTGTATATCACTTGGGTTTATATATATACATATATATAAATATC